TTCTATCTTCTAGTCAAACAGGTGGGTTACGGCTTTGTCAGTCTAATCTTGGGCGTAAGGAGGTTGTGCCACTTCTGAAAAAAAAATAACTCAAAAGGAACAAGTGCAGTCTGTGGTTGGCTCACACCTTATAATCCTAGCACTCTGGGGAGGCTGCAGGCGGGCGGACTTGGCATCGAGGGTCCGAGGAGTCGAAAACCGCCCTGAGCGAGACCCAGTCTCTACTAAAATAGAAAGGAAATTAATTGACCAATAAAAAATAACATGATATACAAAAAATTATGCCGGGCAAGGTGGCGCAGTGCCTGATCCCCAGACTACTCGGGAGGCTGAGCGCAGGCAGGATCGCTTGAGCCCAGGAGATTGCAGGTTGCTAGTGGCTAGGCTGAATACCACGGCACTCATACCTAGCCTGGGTAACAACCGATGAGACTCTGTCTCAAAAAAAAAAAAAAGGGAATGCATACAGAACAACAGAAAGTTAGCAAAGTTCTGGTCAGCAAATCTTACTGGCCTGGAAACTTGAAACATGAGAGAACTATCAAAAGGCATTTTTGCTTATGGAGCCAGTTACAAATTCACTTATCCCTGCAGGATCAGTGCTCCTTCCACCCCAATTCTTTCTTTTCTTTTTTTTTTACAGTCTGGCTCTGTTGCCCAAAACTGGAGTGCAATAGCATTGACATGAGCTCACTGCAACATCGAAACTCTGGCTTAAGGTGATCCTCTTCCGCTCAGCCTCCCAAAGTGCTGGTATTAACAGTGCATTGGCCACTGCACCCAGCCCTCCTCCATTCTTGCTGCTGTGTTAACCCCAATGGGTGTCTGCAAAACTCCATTCCCATCCACAGAGTCCAAGATGGGCATGAAAATTAAATTGACATAGGACCAGGCCGGCAGCTGTGGCTCACGGCCTGTAATCCTAAGCTTCTGGGTAGGCGAAGGCGGAGCGGATTGCTCAATTTGTCAGGTTGTTTCTCAAAAACCTAGCTTGAGCTGTGTGTGGACCCCGTCTTCTATTTTTTTGAAAGAAATTAATTGGTGTATATTATATAAAAATGTGTGTCTTGGGTGGCGATCTGTTGTTTTTTTTTTTTTCTAGTCTACTCGGGAGGCCTGACTTGTATGCATCACTCAGCCCCTTAGGAGTTGAGGTTGCTGTGAGCTTGTGTCTGTTGTCTTGTGTCTTCTTTTTTTTTCTTGTGGCAACAAGCGAGACTCTGTCCACCCCGCTGCACTCTAGCCTGGGCAACAGAATGAATCTGTTCCAAAAAAAAAAAAAAAAAAAAAAAAATTGACATAGGACAGATTAACAGGAGAAAATAACACAGATTTATTTAATTAAAGTGTTATGGGGCACAGAAGTCCTCATAAGGAAATGAAAACCCAATCAATGGGGGTGATGATGACCCCAGGTGATTGAGATTGGTATCTCACTGATGCCAAGCGCTGCAGCATGCTGACCGCCCCAGGGAAGAAAAAAAAAAAGAAAACCCAATCAAGCAGATAGAGTTAGTTACTTACATACTGAATTGGACAAAGAATAGTAAGATGTGAAGGAACAGCTTAATTATGTGGGGAGCCTTAAAGATAAGAGTTATTTTAACAAGGTCTGTACAGAATGATCTCAACTTCTCACCCTTGAGGATAAAGATGTATCATCTTTCACATAGGAACTTCTGCTTTTAAGAAAAAACAAGGGACAACGTTGATGGAGGACCAGGGCATGGGCGAATTCCCCTGGGAACTGATTTGGGATGAACTCTAGGAAGGGAGTGGGGGCCTGAAGGAAATATTTATAGGACCCTTCCATGGCTGGAAGAAAATTCCCCTGGGATTAAGTTTTTTTAGTGAAGAGGAATATTATGAGGTGGATGGGAGGGGCTTAAGGTCCTCCACTTTCGCCTTGGTGCCTGTCTTCGCCCAGCTGAGCAACCTCCAGAGCTTCCTACCAGCTGTTGGTGCAGCTTTCTCCGTTGCCATCGGTGCTCAGCACGTGTGCTACGGCCATGTCACTCCTGGCGACCCTGGGGCTGGAGCTGGACAGGGCCCTGCTCCCAGCTAGTGGGCTGGGCTGGCTCGTAGACTATGGGAAGCTCCTCCTGGCCCCTGCCCCCCTGGGCCCCTATGAGGTCCTGGGGGAGCCCTGGAGGGCGGGCTTCCGGGGGGGGGAGAGCCCCTGGCAGGTGATGGCTTCTCCGACTGGATGACTGAGCGAGTTGACTTTACAGCCCTCCTCCCTCTGGAACCCCCCTTGCCCTCAGGTGCCCTTCCCCCACCTTCCCCATCCCCACCTGACCTGGAAGCCATGGCCTCCCTCCTTAAGAAGGAGCTGGAACAGATGGAAGACTTCTTCCTTGATGCCCCACTCCTCCCACCACCCTCCCCACCACCACCACCACCACCATTGCCACCAGCCCCCTCCCTCCCTCTCCCCCTCCCTACCTTTGACCTCCCCCAGCCCCCTGCCCTGGACACCCTGGACTTGCTGGCCATCTACTGCCGCAGCGAGGCCGGGCAAGGGGAGGCCGGGTTGGTGCCCCTGTCCCCACCACAGCAGCCCCCTCCTCCTCCTCCTCTTCCTCCACCTCCACCTCCACCCTCTCGCCCTGCCCCCTACCCCAGTCCTGCCACCGCCCGAGGGGACCGCAAGCAAAAGAAGAGAGACCAGAACAAGTCTGCAGCTCTGAGGTACTGCCAGAGGAAGCGGGCAGAGGGCGAGGCCCTGGAGGGCGAGTGCCAGGGGCTGGAGGCGCGGAACCGCGAGCTGCGGGAGAGGGCAGAGTCGGTGGAGCGCGAGATCCAGTACGTCAAGGACCTGCTCATCGAGGTGTACAAGGCTCGGAGCCAGAGGTCCCGCAGCAGCTAGCAGGGTGCTGGGCATTAGCACTGGCTCACTTTCGTGTCTGGGGCCATGACCACCCTCCCTCCCCCCAGCTTCCTTCCAGACCCCCCAGCTCTTGTCCTTACTGTCTCTCTTGCCCATTTCTGAACTGTGTTTCCCTCTTCTCTCCCCAGAATCAAGCAATGTTTGGCCTCAGTCAACGTCTAACATCCTCAAGTAGCAGCTGAGGCTGGGGGAGGCCCACAGGGAACGCAGGCAGCAGGGAGAGCTTGGAGACTGGTCTCTTGAATTTCCAATCTGGTTTCTTGCAGGTGGTTCTTGGTGGTGGGTGGAGGGGCCGTGGGCTAGAGCAGGGTGCCTATGCCGATGGGGACGTGAGTCAGGGAGGCTTCAGGACGGGGACCCGTATGATATAAGCAGAAAAGCATGGCAAGGGACCTTGGGGAGGGAGCCAAAATGTGGCCAAGCTCGCAGAGCAGGTGGATATGAGGAGGGGCAGAGCGGGGGACCGTCATGGTGGGTGACTGGGTGTTCATTTTAGCTCTGGGAGAAAATCAGTGTTTTGTGAAGGTGTTGGGGGGGGCTGCATTTAGGTGAGGGAGGGGGGTGATGAGCAAAAATAAAATGAAGAATTTCCTCCAAAAAAAAAAAAAAGAAAAAACAAGTGTTTGGTGCGGTGGCTCATGTCTGTAATCCTAGCAGTCTGGGAGTCCAAAGCGGGAGGATTGCTTGAGATCAGGAGTTTGAGACAAGCCTGAGCAAGAACGAGACCCCATCTCTACTACCACCAAAGTAAATTAGGCCGCCAGACGCCTGTAATCCTAGCACTCTGGGAGGCCGAGGCGGGCGGATTGCTCCGAGGCCAGGAGTTCTAGACCAGCCTGAGCAAGAGCGACCCCGTCTCACTATAATAGAAAGAAATTAATTGGCCAACTAATATATATAGAAAAAACTAGCCGGGCATGGTGGCACATGCCTGTAGTCCCAGCTACTCGGGAGGCTGAGGCAAGAGGATTGCTTGAGCCCAGGAGTTTGAGGTTGCTGTGAGCGAGGCTGACGCCACGGCACTCACTCTAGCCTGGGCAACAAAGTGAGACTCTGTCTCAAAAAAAAAAAAAAAAAAGTAAAAAATTAGCCAGGCATGGTGGCGTGTGCCTGTGGTCCCAGCTACTTGGGAGACTGAGGCAGGAGGATCGCTTGAGCCCAGAAGTTTGTGGTTGCTGTGAGCTAGGCTGACGCCACGGCACTCTAGCCCGGGTAACAGTGAGACTTTGTCTCAAAAAAAAAAGAAAGAAAGAAACAGCACGAAGGCCAGAGAAGTCTTTCTGTACCTGCAATTTTTTCAACTGCCTTTTACTTAGTCAATAAGTGTGTGTGTGTGGTTGTGTGTGTGTGTGTGTCTGTGTCTGTGTCTGTGTGTCTGTGTTGTTTTTTTGTTTTTGTTTTTGTTTTTGAGGACCGAGCTCGC